GGGGGAGGAGGAGGGGGCGGAGGAGGGGGAGCCCCCCCCCCTCTCACGCCGTCCCCTCCGGAAAGACAACGATCAGATTTGGGCAGTTTTCGGCCTCCGGGGCCTCGCCGGCCCCGCGGGCCGTCCCTGGGGATCCCCAGGGACGGCCCGACCCTTTCGACAGGGTCGGGGCTCCCGGGGGGCGCGCATGCTGAGAAAAAGGCCTCGCAGGTCTGGGGAAGGTTTCCTCTGGTCCTCCATGGCCGCCCCTCCTCCGCGCGCGCCCCCTCTTGCAGCCGGACAGTTCGTTTGCCCAGCGCCGCCGGAGATTCGAGCGCCCGTGCGGATTGCTTCTGCCGTGCCGCGACGAGCAGAAAGGTTTGGGGGGAGGGAGCCCTGGGTCCCCCGCCCTCTGCCCCTGCCTGGCCCTTGGGGAGAGGAGGAGGCCGTGGCCGAAAGGGGGGCCGTCGTGGCTGGGCGCAGGGGGGTTGGCGTCAAGGCCGCACCCGGCCTCCCGCTCTATTGCTAGCCGTGCGCTGCATGGCTCTTCGGGCGGCGCGCCCTAGGGGGAGGAGGAGGAGGAGGGGGAGGAGGAGGAGGAGGAGGAGGAGGAGGAGGAGGAGGAGGAGGAGGAGGAGGAGGAGGAAGAGGGGGAGGAGGAGGAGGAGGAGAGTAGGAGTAACCCAGACATGCTCGCGTCGTACAGTGGAGGCCCATGCCAAGAGACACCCTGCCTGCCTCCAGGGCACCCTGGGTGTCTTGGGTTTCAATGGTTTTGCGATGGAGAGCGCGACGTTTCCACGTCAAACATCGATGGACGTCCTGTGGTCTCAGGGTTGGGTTTCCTGTTGAAGGTATCTTGTGGTCGGACACCCACTGTAACCCAGACATGCTCGCGTCGTAAAACAATCTGGATTGACGGTGTTTCATCGCTTTCGGCCTCTGGGGGCCTTGCTGGGCCCCAGGACGGTCAAAAACGACTCAGGATGAAACGCCAGCCCCGGAAACAGGGTCGGGACTTCCGGGCACCGCGTACTGAAAAAGTCGGGTCGTCGCATGTCTGGGGAGAAACTCTTCTCAGATGCGGTGGGGCGTCTTGGAAACCCTTCGGCCTTCTGCGAAGCTGTCGGTTTCTTCGGGGAAGGCTGAGACAACTTCTCAGAAGGTCTGAGACCTTCCGAGCCTTCTGAGCCGCCCCTTCTCACTTCCCCGCGGGCTCGCCGCCGACTCTTTATCCTAGGCGTTTCGCGGTCACTGGTGCCCGACAATATCTGCGTCGTCGAGGTCGTCGTCGTCGTCGTCGTCGTCGTCGTCGTCGTCGTCGTCGTCGTCGTCGTCTCGACGAAGAAGAATAGTAATAGTAAGAAGAAGTGGAATAATAATATGGAGAAGAAGACGAAGGACGCGGCATAAACCTGTCGGAGCTCCGCGCGGATTCCTTGGATCGGCGCTGTGCCCCTGAGTCGGCGCCTCCAGCGCCGCCCCTGGCGCGCTCCGCGTGCCAGGGAGGTGGGCCCAGCGCCGATCCAAGAGATCCGTGCGGAGTTGTGTTTTTCCCGACCCTCCCTCGGTTGGGTTTCTCGTTTTCAATACGTAGACCAGTGGAGTCTCCATTTCCTCGGCACCCCTCTGCTCTCCTCTCAGCTCTCTCCTCTCGCATCCCCCTTGGGGGCCGCGAAGTGTGAAACTGTCGCCACTTTCCAGGGCTGCTGGGGGAGCCCACGCAGTGGGGGTCGCCGTCGTCGCCAGGTAGTCCGTTTCTGCTCCGAGCTGATTTTTGATGTGCCCAGGGTCCGAAAGGTATGAAAGAGGCACGGTATGTCGGAGGTCTGGGATGATGATTTTGTGAGGAGCCGCCCGTTCTGATTCGCAGGAGCGGGAAATTGATTGCTCGAGGCACGCGTGCCGCTGCGAGTGCGGTGGCGGATAGTTTGCCCTCTCGGGTTCGCACGGACACGAAGCTCCTTGCGGTTTGTTCAGCGCCACCGAGGCGGGCACATGGTAGCGGGTACTTCGGCAGCGCGCAGGAAGGTGGCAGTGAAGTGTTAGGACAGCGCCACTTTCGAGCGTGATGGTTCAAGGTATTGGCAGGAACGCGCCGCTTTCCTGTATCCACTAGGGTTCGTCCGTCTACTGAGTGCCCATCTGGGTGGCGCTGAGGGCTTGAAGTTCCCATCCATCAGCAACAAGCTCAGACATCCGACGGTGTACTTTCTATCCACGCCCACAGGTCTCGACCTCGAGGGCACCTATCCACCTGGGACCCATTGTTGATCATCCAAGTGCGTTTTTCTCGACGGCCGTGGCTGAAAAAGACATAACTTCGGAGGTCTGGGAAGTTTGTTTCGGTGGCTTGACGCCAGATCCCCGTGTGCGGTCAGGCATGTCTGCGAACCCTACCCCTGCGGGTCCAGACGACGCCAGGGTATCGGAAAGAGCGTGTTCTACCGCTGCCGGCGGAAAACCGGGGGGGGTCACTGCCGGTTCGAACCCCTCCCCTCCCCCCCCCCTCCGGAAAACCGGGGGGGGTCACTACCGGTTCGAACCCCTCCCCCCCCCCCAGTTCATCATGAAAAGGGGGGGTGGTCACTACCGGTTCGAACCCCCCCCCCCCCTTCGAACTCGAAAACCGGGGGGGGATCACTACCGGTTCGAACCCCTCCCCCCCTCGAAAACCGAGGGGGGGTGCGGACAGTGGTGGGGACGGTGGTGGTGGGGACAGTGGTGAGGGGACAGCGGGACAGGGGTGGGGACAGTGGGACAGTGGTGGGGACGGTAGTGGTGGGGACAATGGTGAGGACAATGGTGGGAACAGTGGGGACAGTGGGACAGTGGTGGGGACGATGGTGGTGGGGACAGTGGTGTGGGGACAGTGGGAATGTGGTGGAAACAGTAGGACAGTGGAGGGTACAGTGGTGGTGGGGACAGTGGTGAAGGCGGTGGCGAGGACGGCGGTGGGACAATGGGACAGAGGTGCAGTGGGGACAGTGGCGGGGACAGTGGGGACACTGGTGGGAACAGCGGGACAGCTCAGTGGGACAGCGGAGGAGTCAGTGGGGACAGTGGGGATAGTCGGGCAGTGGTTGGGGCCGTGGAGAAAGTTGGGAGAGTGGAGCCGTGGTGGGAACAGTGGTGGGGACAGTGGGGACAGTGCGACAGTGGTGGTGGCACTGGTGGGGACAGTAGGGGCGGTGGTGGAACCAGTGGGGACAGTGGTGGTGAGTGATGCTGGGAACAACAGTGGGGGATGTGGTGAGGACGGTGGTAGGGACCGGGAGTCGTTTGCTGGCGGTGAGAGGGGGGGGGGGAGGGGTTCGAACCGGTAGCGACCCCTTCCGCGTTGTCGAGGGGGGGGGTGCACGTGGGGAGGGGTTCGAACCGGTAGTGACCCCCCTCATCGGCCCGGTGTCGAGGGCGGGGGGGGGGGAGGTTAGAGGAAAAAGGGGGGGGGGGATTTTGCCGGGGGAGGCAGGGGGGGGGGGTCCAGCAGGGGGAGGGGGATTTTCGGAGGGGGGGGGGGGCACCCCCGGGTTCCGGAGGAAAAGGGCGGCAATTTTCCACAGTAAAGCGGCGGTGGATCACGCTCTTTCGGGTATCGAAACACCCCGGCTGGGTTCAGTTTTGGCCACATGCAAGCTTGAGCTTCAGCAGGAGGAGGAGGAGGAGGAGGAGGAGGAGGAGGAGGAGGAGGAGGAGGGCCTAGCCGAGTTCTCAGAAGTTCCGACCTGCAGGTGGTAGTGCACCTGTGAATTTGCGTGGCGTGGGCGCGCGCTGCACGCTTTTCGCAGCTCTGTGCTCGTCCCCCGGGCCCGGCTGACGCTTACGCCTCCCTCGGCCCGCAGAGGCCGGGTGATGTGGGCTCCCTCCTCCGACCCCCCCGAGCCCCAGGCCCGCTCCTCCCACTCCTCCCCCACGTCTGCCGCCTCCTCCACTCCTGCCCCCCGCCCTCCTCGCTCATCCTCCGTGCCGCCGCCCCCCCCCCCCCCTGCGCCCCCCCCCCCTGCGCGCTCAGCTCCTCCCGCCTCCTGCTCCAGCCTCCCCCGCCTCCTCCCGCGCCGCTCCAGCATGTTCTCCCCTCGCTCCTGTTTTCTCTCTCCTGCCCCCCCTCCCGCCTTCCCTTCTCCCTGCTTTCTCCCTTCTGCCGTCTGCCTTTCTGCCCCCCTGCATCCCGCATCCCGTCTCCCGCGTCTCTCCTCGCGCCTCCCGCATCCTGCGTTCCTCCTCCAATGTCCTCTCGCCCCCTCCTGGGCCCTGCCTTTTGACCCTCCCTCCTCCCGCCTCCCTCCTCCTTCCCCACTCCTCCCTCCTGCCTGCTGCATCTTCCCCCGCCTCCTCCTCCTCCTCCTCCTCCTCCTCTTCCTCCTCCTCCTCCTCCGCCCCACCCGCCTGTCCCTCCTCCTCCTCCTCCTCCTCCTCCTCCTCCTCCTCCTCCCCCTCCTCCTCCTCTCTACGCTGGGCTCCTCCTCCTCCTCCTCGTCCTCCTCCTCCTGGCCTCCTGCCGCCTCTCTTCCTCCCTCCCGGCCTCTGCGCCCTGCGTTCCTCTCATCTTGCCTCTTGCCCCCCCTCCCCTCTGCATCCCGCCGTCTCTCTCCCTCCCCCGCCTCCTCCCTCGTGCTTACCTCCCCCCCCCCTCCCAGGCCGCTGATCACACTCATGTACGCCGCGGAGTGGCAGCTCTGCGCACGGCGAGCTCGGGGGGACGGGCTTCGGGGAGGGAGACGGCGGGACGCCAGGAAGGTCGTGAAGACGACGAGGAGGACAGGGAGGACAAGGTGGAGACCCGTGACAGCGAGGAGGCGGGGGACGACGACGACGAGGAGGGTGAGGAAGACGACGAGGCCTGGGCACCTGTCCAGCACGAACACATGGCAGCATCAATGTTGGGAGCTCCGCCTGGATCTCTTGGATTGGAGCTGACCTCCGCCGCCGCTCCTGGCGCTGAGCCCAAGCAATTCGTTTGGGAGCTCCGATGGTTGGTGCTCATGATGCCTGTGATGTTCTAGAATATGCCCGGGCGCCTAGGCGAGCAAGGTTTAGAGCGTTATCTCGTCCTCCCCGCCCTCGTCTTCCACCTCGTCCACCTCCTCGTCGCCCTCATCCTCCCTGTCCTCACGGTATCAGGTTCCCAAGCTCATTGCGAGCGGTGAGTTTGGGAGGAGGACGAGGACGAGAGCGAGAGCGATTATGTGGAAGGGGTAAGGATCATGTTGACGATTGTGATGGTGCTGAATGTTGTGCCGTTGCTGAGCTTTTGTGGTCGTTTGTTGTTATTATTGTTGTTGTTGCAGTTGAAGTTGCTGCTGTTGATATTGCGGTTGTTGTTGACGTTGTTGGTGTAGTTGTTGTTGTTGCGGATATCATTGTTGATGTTATCGTTGTTGCAGTTGGTGGTGTTGTTGATGTTGCTGGTGCTGATAGTGTGGTTCCTGTTGTTGATGTCGTTGGTGTGGTTGTTGTTAGTGTTGTCGTCGTTGTTGTTGTTGTTGTTGTTGTTGTTGTGGTTGTTGTTGTCGTGTGGGTGTTGTTCTTGGTGTTGTCGTTGTTCTTGATGTTGTTGGTGTTAATGATGTTGATATTGGTGGTGTGGTTGATGTGTGTGTTGTTGTTGCTGGTATTGTTGTTGGTGTTGGTGTTGCTGTGTGTGTTGTGATGGTTACTGCTGTTCATGATGATGGTGATACCGATGCTGCTGATGACGATGTTGATGAGGATGTTGATGACGATGATGGTGGTGCTGACGATGCTGTTGATGATGATCACGGTAATGACACTGCTGTTGTTGATGATGAGGTTAATGTTGATGCTGCTGCTATTGCTGATGTTGATACTGATGATGACGACGATGCTGATGCTGATGATGATGCTGATGCAGGCGATGATGATGTAGCTGATGATGATGCAGACGATGCAGATGATGATGCTGATGATGATGCTGATGATGATGATGCTGATTATGTTGATGCTGATGCTGATGCTGATGATGAGGATGCTGATGATGATGATGATGATGATGATGGTGGCGATGATGATGATGATGATGATGATGATGATGATGATGATGCTGATGCTGATGATGATGATGATGCTGATGATGATGACGATGATGATGATGATGATGATGATGATGATGATGACGATGATGATGATGCTGCTGATGGTCGTCATTCTGATTACGATCGTGGCATACATGGGCGTGATTAACGTTTGGCCCTTTTTAAGCATAGCCGAAGTAATGGCTACGATGCATCCACACGCTGTTGTGGCATGAGGGGGTGCTTCGATCGGTGTCGTTGTGATGTGGAGCTGGTTGCACCGAAATGCAATCAGTGCTACTTGGGCGCAGCAGCGCCTGAGCACCGCAGTGACAGTGAGCACCCAGATGCCTGTGGGCACAACATCGCCAAGATCCACCCTTATCCTTCCACCACTCCTCCCTCCAACTTGAAGTTGCAGCGGAGACACACTGGACGAGTTTGTATTTGATTTGCGCTGGGAATCGAGACGGCTGCGACCGCACGCGCATTTCTTCCAAGACAGTTGTTTACCTCTTGGATTCGGCCCGAGCTGGATCAATACCGCCTGAGTCCAACAACGCCTCAGCACCGATGTGACTCTGAGCTCTTGCTAGTGAACACCAGGAACGCAGAGCGCAGCAACATCGATAAGCCTTGAAAGTTCATCGATGCAAGCTCCACCCTCATCCTTCCACCCGTCCTCCCTCCAACATGTCCTACATGTTGCAGCGAGGACAAACTGGATAATCTTGTATTGGATTTGCGATAAGAACCGAGACTGTTGCGACCACGCGCGCATTTACTGCTCGAAGGCCATGTCTTGACTGCTCGATTTGGCCTCGGAGCCGGATCAACACTACCCGAGTCCAGCAACGCCTGAACACCACTGTGAGTGTGAGCACCCGGCCGCCTGTGAACGCCACATTGCCAGTGAACACCACTGCTGACAAACAGCTCAAGTACGCAGAGCACAACAATATCAATAAAGCCTGAAAGTTGATCGATGCAAGCTCCTCCCTCATCCTTCCACCCCTCCTCCCCCCAACTTGCCCCAAAAGTTGCAGCGAGGACGACCTGGACGAATTTGCATTGGACTTACGATAGCAATCGAGACTGTTGCGATCACGCTCGCATTTACTGCTAGAAGGTCACGTTTTGACTGCTGGATTGGGCCTTCGGAGCTGGGGTCAAATCCAAAAAAAACGACTTGGCCCAGACAATATCTTACTTCGAACGATCCCCACCGAAACCTTCGGCGCCTGTCCTACTCCTCCTCTTCCTCGTCCTCATCATTTCCCTCCTCTTCCTCCTCCTCCCACTCCCTTCCCCTCCTCCCTCCTTCCTCCTCCTGTCCTCCTCCCTCTTTCTCATCCTCCCTCTTCCTAACATATTGGTTTTCCAATAGGAAATGGGGTACATCAGGCGGCCCAAGCAGAAGCAGCCCAAACGGGCGGATGAGTCGTGCTTTCCCCGTTGGATTCGGCCTCCGGGGGTGGGGTCGAAAAGACAACGATTTTGCAGAAAAGGCCGGAACCCGGAAAACTAGTGGAAACATATTGGTTTTCCAATAGGAAATGGCGTAGATCAGCCGGCCCAAGCAGAAGCAGCCCAAACGGGCGGGTCCTTTTCAAAAATGTGGCTGTTTGGGGGTGACAGCAGTATCCCCCCCCAAGGGGTCCCCCCCTTGAAGGGGGGGGGCGGGTGTCTCCCCCCGGCACGTCCCCCCCTCCGGAAGGGGGCCAGCGCCGCACCGGGGGCCTCTCCAGGCGCCACCCCAGAGAGCGGTCGGCCAGACCGAGACACTGGCCGGCGGTGAGGCGAGAACTAAGGAGTGGCCGGCATTCGGGCGAGAGCGCATGTAAACGTCGTAACCGCCGTCGTCGTCGTCGTCGTCGTCGTCATTGTCGTCGTCGTCGTCGTCGTCGTCGTCGTCGTCGTCGTCGACGCGGCCGTTGGGCTTCAAACGTATTTTCAAGGAAGTCTCAAGCGAAGCGGTCGTTTCCAACCGTTTGGAAATCGATGCTATTGTTTCGAACCGACGTGGAACCGTCAGAACAACCATTTTTGTGAGGGTGTCCCACGCGGTTTGCCGTTTTCGAACCGCCATCCCCTTTTTTCGAACCGAGTTGGAACCGTGAAAACAAGAATTTGTGTGAGGATGTCCCACGCGGTTTGCCGTTTTCGAACCGCCCTCCCCTTCTTTCGAACCGAGTTCGAACCATCAGGACAGCAGATTTTGTGAGGATGTCCCACGCGGTTTGGCGTTTTCGAACCGCCATCCTTTTGTTTCGAACTGGGTCCGACGCCGTATTTTGAGGGAAGCCCCACGCGAAACGCTCATTCTGCTTTTGTTTCGAACCGCATTCTATTGTTTCGAACCGAGTTCGAACCGTCTTGAAACCAATTTTGTGAGGATGTCCCACGCGGTTTGCCGTTTTCGAACCGCCATCCCGTTTGGCTTAATAAAATTTTAATTGAAGGAACCAAATCCAGGTTCGAACCCCGCCCCGACAGCCCAGGTTCGAACTCCGCCCCGAAAGCGAGGCACCTCCCCGTAACATTGTACCAGGTTCCACGTCCCTAACGGGGCGACTCGCGACGTGCGCTCGCATTGCGGACGCAGGATGTTTTTTTGCCGACCCGTCAAAATGGGGCAACCTGTCATTGCGGCACAGACGTGTGCTCGCATTGCGGACGCAGGATGCACTTCTGCCGACCCGTCCAAGTGGGGCAATCTGTCCTCACGGCACAGACGTGTGCTCGCATTGC